ATGAATTACAAATGTTGTTTTATTATTAAATTTTTATTTATATTTCATAATCACACTTTTTGTTAATTTTTTTCAATCAAACAGAGCCTTACATGCTGCGATATATTTTTGAAATACATGAATTGCTTAAACTTAGTAGTATGTTTTCAATGAAATGTGTGGTTTTAACAAAATGCCATAAAATTAATCACACAAACATACATTTTGTACAACTGCGGTTCTATGTATTACGACGAGATTCTATCTCTTGGCATATAGGATCTCGCACATGATTCCCCCTTTAAATCTCGCCATGAGCGGTGAAGTCATCAGTAACATCTGGAGATGTGTCGCAAATAAAATCCAAATCATCTTCGTTAGCTATATTGTGCAAAACGCAACAGGCTCGAATGAAGTGGCAAGGTTTTTCCATTCCTCTGAGCTTACAGTAATATAACTGACGGAATCTTTGTTTCAACATGCCAAACGAGTGTTCTATAGCGATACGTCCAGAGCTCAGATTCAAATTAAAGTATTTTTGGGCATTTGTTAAATGCCCATTATCTCTGTAGGGCGTTACTAAATATTTCTTGCAGGGATATGCAGAATCACCCAAAACGTAGTAATCTAAAATAAAAATGCTGTTCTTATTCAAATAAGATTTTTTCATGTTTTGATTAATTTTACTTACCTCCACAATACGACGGCAACTTATCGTAAATAGTGGAGTTTTGTAAAACCCAACTGTCGTGACTAGAACCAGGATATCCCACGAAAATGTTTATAAACTTCTTCTTTTCATTACATATCGCTTGCAGACAGATAGACGTAATTCCCTTCCTATTTATGTAATCGTCTTTTGGTCTCTTTGGTGGGTCAATTTGGTTGTGGGTTCCATCAATGCAAGAGGCGTGTGAGAGTATCGATCGCGAACGGACGTGTTTTTTATCGCTCTGGTTATGGTGTTAAAAAGTATAACAATATTGCAAAGTGTAAAGTTAATAGTTGCATTATTGGATTAATAGTGTGAAAAATAACGATTTAAACTAATAAGCCAACCAATAAGTCGAAATAAAAATAAAGATCAAATAAGCAAAATTGACAAATAATAGCGCGCATTTAAGTTGATGTACATACATACGTATGCATATTAATCCAAACATAGCGGCTGCTGAGTGAGTGCGAAGATGTCGGAATGCGCGAAATGCCGAAAAGGCGTCAGAGGAGAGTCGGGTGTGCGTTGCCAAGGTGTGTGTGGGAAAGTGTACCATAGAACGCAAGCATGTGCGTCGGCTGACGATTACAGCCTAAAGGCACTAGAAAACTGTCCCCTCCTACGCTTCATGTGCGACAACTGCATGATGTACATAGCCAATGTGGATGAAGCTCTTAGAGAAATGATAGGTATAGCTGAGGCCAACAAGATGAATATAATAGAACAAAAGACAGATATTGAAAAAATGTTAAAAAATCACAGCAAAGAGGTAAAAATGTTAGTTGATAGTATAAAGAAGGCAAACCAAGAAAAACTTGATGCAATAAAAAGAGTTGAGGGGCTGTGTAAAGCAAACAAAGAGAAAATGGATAGGGTAGATTCATCCACTAGTGAGCTGCAAACAAAAACAAGAAATAATTAGCGAGGTGAAGAAAGTGACAACTATAAGCCAAGAGAAAGCACAAAGTGGTGTGGGTGTATCGTATGCCAATGCATTGAAAGGTATTCCTCCTATAATTGTCAGGCCGAAAAACAAACAAGCGGCTGAGAAGACTAGGGTGGACCTTAATAAGATCGATGCATCTGATATGAGAATTGATAGAGTGTCAAATAAGAATAACGGGGCAGTGGTTATAAACGCAAATAGCGTTTCAGATAAGGACAGAATAAAATCTGCTCTAGCAGACAACTTAAATAAAGAAGTGTACGACATCACCGAACCCAAAGTTAATACGCCTAAAATTTTGTTAGCGCACATAAACGCTGAATATTCTGAGACGGAGATAATAAATAAGATAAAAGCTCAGAATAGCTATTTAAATGATGCGAGTTTGAAATGTGTAAAAATATTTAAGTCCAGGCGCAGTGGTGAGGCATTTCCTTCATTCAGTGCAATAATAGAAATTGAGCACAAATTCTTCCTGCAGGTATTGGAGTCAAAGAGACTTAATATTGGGTGGGATCGATGCCCCGTCTATGATGGGCAAACCGTGAGAAGATGCTACAAGTGTCTGGGCTTCAACCATAGCTCTAACAGCTGTAACAAAAAGCTTAGGTGTAGCAAATGCATGGGAGAGCACAAGTCTGAAAGTTGCACTGACAGTAGCCAAAAAGAAGTTTGTGGAAATTGTTGTGATGCTGTTAAAGAGTTAGGGCTAAACCTGGATGTAGCGCACAACGCATTTAGTCGTGAATGTCCTGTCTATATTAGGAAACTGAAACTAGAGAAACAAAGAGTAGGATGTTAGCAATTAGGTGTAATGGAAAAGCGTAACAGTTACTTAAAATGCGTGTATCTTAATATAAATAGTATAATAGCCAATAAAGCCGAGCTTGAAAGGCTTCTTGAGACTGTTGATCCGGATATAGTTTTATGCTCCGAAACATGTACAACAGAGGAAATAAACGACTCCGAAATCAAGTTTCCAACTTATCAGTTTATTAGATGCGACTCGTATAGTAGACACACTGGCGGGGTAATTGTAATTTTGAGAGACACAATAGACTTTAAAATAATAATAAATAGATCCACTGATAAAAATGTCTGGTGGTATAGTGGTACAATTGAGAAATTTTGAAACCAAATGGAAAATCGGGGTAGTCTATCACTCACCCAGTTCGAGTGATGCAGATTTTCTGACATATATGGAAGCCATTTTGTCCGAAACATGCGCTAACATGGTAAATACCATTATTATTGGGGATTTTAATATAAATATGAATATATCATCGACATATAGTAGGAAGCTTAATGAGATATTCTCTCAGCAGGCAATGAAACAGTTAATCAACTTTGATACCAGGGTTACTGCACAGTCCGAAACGCGCATCGACTTGTTATACTCTAACACTAATGAAGTTTCATGTGAAAAAGCTGAGGAACATAGAATAACGGATCACGATACCATAATGTTCAAATGCAATATAAAAAAACAAGGCGAAATCAATAAACTCTCTGAATTAATTTCTTGGGATAAGTACAGCCCAGACAACCTCATAAATCTTTTGAGACAATGCCACTTTGCAAACCTGAATAGTTTCAATATTGATGATATGCTCGAACATATCAACCTTTGTTTGATTTCGAGTATGAATCAACTAACTTCTCGGGTACAAAGGCGGGTTAAACTTAGAAATAAATGGTATGATAGACAACTGACTGACACTAATAAAGAAAAGTTTAGGTTACACCAAAGGGCAGTACTCACTGGTGATTGGGTAGATTACAACAACATAAAGAAAGAGTATAAGAAAATGATCAAAATTAAGAAAATTCAGTATATGGAACACAAGGTAGAAAATAATAGAGGTGATAGTCGTTTAATGTGGAAATATTTAAAGAATATTCTTAATAATACGGGTAACAGAGACAATATCAAAGAAGTTCTCATCAACGGAAAAATATACAGAAATAGTATGGTAATCGCCGAAGAACTAAACAAGTACTTTGTGGATAGTATCGTCGACATAAATAGTAATATAGAGAACGTAAATTGTGAACAGTTACGACAGGAAGACAGTCGAGGCACCTTTAAATTTGAGAAAATTACCTCAGAGGATGTTATCCTTATAGTGAAGAAATTTAAGACTAAAATTGGTGGAAATAATTTATTATCTGACGGTGTTATAAAGGATTCAGTTGAATACATGGGACACTTTTATGCCTTATTAATAAATAAGAGTCTTGAATCAGGAACAGTATCAAAAGAATGGAAAATCTCGACCATAGTTCCGGTAAAAAAAGTGAAAAAAACTGTAAAAGCCGAGGAAATTAGACCAATTAATACACTGCCTAGCATGGAAAAAATCTTGGAAAATGTGGTAAAAAATCAGTTGGTGCGCCACATTGAAAGTAATAACATACTCATTAAGGAGCAATCAGGTTTTAGAGCTAAACACTCTTGCGAGACTGCGCTAAATTTTGTTATATCCCAGTGGAAGGAAGACCTTAACTCGAAGATGAATATCGTTGCGGTTTTTATTGATCTCAAAAGAGCTTTCGAGACCATTGACAGGGCAAGAATGTTGAAAAAGCTCGAATGCATTGGTATTGAAAACACGGAGCTTAACTGGTTTCGAAGCTTTCTCTCAGATCGTATGCAACAAACTGTAATCGAGTCAAGTGTGTCAAATAAAGTGGCAGTCAATATTGGGTTGCCGCAGGGATCGGTATTGGCCCCAGTACTTTTTAATATTTACATTAACGACATAAATATGGCACTCAAGCACTGTAAGTTAAAACTGTTCGCTGATGATACACTGTTAACGATCAGTGACAGAAACTTACAGACTGCGATGACTAAAATGCAAGAAGACTTGGATTCTTTGTACAAATGGTTGTGTTTAAATAAACTTAAGTTGAATGTAAAAAAGACACAGTTCATGATCCTCACTAGAGCAGTTAATCTTGGAACCACCAGTTACAATTTAAAAATCAAAGAGGAAGAAATTGAGGAAGTTAAACTCATTAAGTACCTGGGTATATATATAGATAATAAACTTAAATTTGATGAGCATGTTGAGCATACAGTGAACAAAATTGCGAAAAAAATTGGTCTTATGAAAAGATCTTGTAAGTATCTGAGAAGAAGGTATAAAACCCTGGTCTATAGATCTATAGTAGAACCACATTTTATATACTGCCCAACAATCTTCTTCTTAGCAAGCGACGCAAATATCGAGAAATTGCAAAAAATGCAAAATAGAGCTATGAGGTTCATATTAAATAAGCGTTACGATACACCTACACAGGAGATGATCACAGATATGAATTGGTTGAGTGTTAAGCAACAGGTTTTCTATCATGCTATGAAATTCGTATACAACATAAAGAACGGTAAACTTCCAGACTATCTGAGCGACAATCTTCGGTATATAAATGAAACTCATTCATATATACTCAGGGAAAACAATTGCTTTAGACTCCCACTTTATAGAACAAAGGTAGACAAAAAAAATATATTTTATAAAGGTTTAAAGTGTTTTAATGAGTTACCGCCACATGTAAAAGACTGTGATAACTTTGTTGCTTTTAAAAGACAACTATTTGATCACTGTAAAACTCTGGCTATTAGGTAGGAGAGCACGGAACGGAATGGAAACCAGGCCTTTCCATCCGACCAAGCAGCAAATGATCTAGCATACGAAAGCTTCCGTCTATGCCCAACAGCCCGACCATAACGCGGAGCGGAAACTAGACCTTTCCGCCCGCCTCACATCACGGAATCCAGCGTCAGGGTTTGCATATTAATGACGACGGGAACATGGATCGGAGACTCGGCCTTTCCGACCGTGACTATCAACTCGTGAGCAACGCGGAGCGGAAACAAGGTCTTTCCGCCTGCTGCACATAGTACATATTTAAAGGTAGACTGGAGACTAGGCCTCGCCAGCTACCAAACTAGTTAGACAATATACATTTATATAGGTTATTTGATAGTTTTAGAAACATAAACAGCTTTGTAATTGAAAATTTAAACTTACATATACGCATACTTTGTTATATATTAAAAATACCTATCTGTACTTTTAAGTCGCAAGACTGTAACAAATAAATAAATAAATAAATAATCATATGATAGGTTATATAACAATAACTATGAATAGGAAGCCAAGGACCTCTTGCATGGATTACCTATTGCCTTAGAAAAGTAGCATTTACGGTTGAAAAATTCGCTTGATTCTAGTTTTTGCTGTTGAGTAATCCATTTTATAACATCTGGACTCAATGAGCTAATAAACATAGTAACTCTGGCAATTATTTTACATACTGATGACAGGCATAGATTAAAACGATCCCCTAAGTCTCTATAGCTGCAGGCTTCATGTCCAGCAAACCATAAAAACACGAGTAAATGAGTTTTTTCTGAGAGCCTTTTGTCAGCCCTTAAATTGTTGTAAAAGTCCGAAACAGATCATCTTTGGCTAAGGCTTTCAAATAAGTTTCTGGAAATGCGGAAATGCATTCGAAACTCTTTTTCCGTGTAACTCGGCACTGTCAACTCTATATAATTCAACACACAATTTCGTGGATTTTTTTTCTTGTAGAAACAAACCAATATCATCTGATCTTAGTTCTTCTACGATCATACGTTCTTCCTCATCTTCGCTTTCCGATGAGGACGACTCCATTAACATCGAAACTACAGTGGCAATCATCCGCTTTCTTGTCGTTTCTACGTAATAAGTATGTACAAACATATGTATGTATAACGATAAAAATTACTTACAAAGGATAAATAAACACAAAATGCACTATTACCTTCGCAATTCACAATTTGCTCCTCACAAGTGGTAATTGCGGCTGAAGATGCACTACTATTCTCGCGTATATATAGATTCTGGGCCTCTTCCTAATATATTTATGTACACAGTGAACTTTATAAACTTGTATATGTAATAAATATTTGTAATTTTAATCTTCACATTAATGTGACAGTCAACAAGGCTAAAGGTGTACTTGCATTTGTGAAACGATGGTCAAAAGAATTTAGTGACCCGTATATCACTAAAACCCTGTTTACAACATTAGTTAGGCCGATTCTGGAATACGGCTCGGTGGTTTGGAATCCAAGGTATCAAATTTACTCAGACAAGATAGAATCAATTCAAAAACAATTCCTACTTTTTGCTTTAAGAAATTTCCGATGGGATTCTCAATATAGTCTTCCACCTTATACGAGTCGCTTAAAACTTATTAACCTTCCTACACTTGCCAGTCGCAGGGAAATGCTTGGTATAATTTTTATGGTTAAATTACTGACAGGCTCAATTTCAAGTCCGTCTTTTCTGGCTGATGTAAGCTTTAATGTTCCGTCACGCGTATCAAGACACTTTTGTCCCATATTTCTGAAAGCTTGTAAAACCAATTTTGAATTGCACGACCCACTCCGTTGCTTATGCCAGGATTTTAACTCTCATTCCAGCACGTTTGATATATCAGATCCGCTTTTCAGCATTAAGAAAGCGATACTCTCCTCTCTCAATGAGTGAATTATCGACATAAATACATAAAATCAGCTGATGAATTTAGTTCTGTAGCTGAACAGTTTTAGATCTCGACACTTAACAAACTCCTGCCTATCGTGACTCGGCACAAAAATTTAAAATATTGGTTCCGTACGTCATGCGGACTGCGCCCCTCGTGCGGATGGGCGGGAATGGAGGGTAAAAACCGTTGGGATATTATTATTATTATTATATTTACTTACTGTTTCCATGTTTTACCTATTTAACAAGAGTACTTAAATTTTAAAAATTGTTTATTTTTCATCAGCTGCTTCCAATCAGCTGTTTATTTTACTAGCAAAAGTTGCTAGTAAAAATTTATCCAGTAAAAATCCAGTAAAACTTGCAAGTTCAGCTGCCATTTTTGCTCTCTCAATTCTCTCTCTTTTGCTGGTTTCTTGCAAGTTTTTGCGTACGAAAACGACTTCCAGTAAAAACCAGTAAAACCAGTATTGGATTTTACTGGATAGTGCGTACGCGAACACGACTATTACCTGTTGAGGGTTAGATTTTGCAGTGAGATGTTTAGGATGCATGCATCAGACCCCAACTTTTTTAATAAAATAATGTGAAGCGATGAATCATCATGCAAACGTGATGGTTATTTTAATTTACATAACCTTCACAGTTTGCAGA